TACAACAAATAGATCTTATACTTCATAACAGGTAAATATTGCAAAATTTTCGTTAACATAAAATTCTAAAATAGACAATAAGCATTCGCCATTTCATACGTATATAGATATATATGACATAGTTGACATATTTTATTAGTATTACATATAAAGTATAACGTCAGAGTAAACAACAATCATGTGACAATGGTCATGATTAAGTACATTCTTTTCAGTTAAGTCATGAATACGAAAAAAAGAACAAAAATACACTGTAAATGCTTAGATCTATTTTTGTTTGAATAGCAGTCTGACTCTTCCCATTATAGCGTAGTCTTATCTGTAGGGCTTATTTGAATTCGAAGCTGGCATCAATGATTTATCTATCGAGCGGATCGGATGAGTGACGTCCCACCGAAAGTTGAGTTCGCCCCATCAGAAATTATCAACATAGAGAAAAGCTTCAGACAGCAGCTCTCCCGAAACATTCATTCATTCGCCCCTCTGAAAATGAAACGTAGATAAAATACTGGCTGGCATAGAAAGAAAAGAACTTTGAAACACCGAGAAAAGGGAATATTTGAAAGTTCTCATTGTTACTATTTGAACTGATAAGACTATAATACTCGAAAACGACTATTCTATTGCATTGCTTTAATGTCACAAAGACAAGAAAAGTAGCGTTAAATTTCTTCCTGCTTACGCTGATATGCATAAAGTCCTAGTATTATGGCTCCTACAAATGAGACTATTTTCGATTTTTTCTCAGTAATCTCTGAGAAGTGCATCTTATAAATTCAAGGATATATCTGGACAGAACGGTATCGAAGAAACGGTATCGATCTATATGCTTCACCGATTGATTGAAGTCAGTTAGTTTTAAGTGGTCGCAAGTTTGATAACAAAACATAATACTTGTGAATGAATATAGTCGAGGAAAATTTGCTTGAAAAGACATTTAGATATCACATCGTGACCATGAGTCAAAATGAATTAATACAATTATTAGAAGAACAGAATACTTTGAATCGATTTTAAACCTTATTCAGATTTCTCGTTTCCTTTCACACTTAGAGCGCATTCAACAACTAGAAGATTCAAATGTAGATTAATACCGGCGTGTTCTAATGTTATATTTCCATATATTCCAAAGAAACGCAACTACTGTCTTGTTAATTGCAGTTCTTTTCCCAGAGATAGTTTCATGTTAATAATTACATAGAAAAAAACTTTGCTGTAAGTGTTATACGATAAAAAAGCACTGTTCCCTTTTAGATCACCATAGAAAAGTAAAAATGTCTATTGCAAAAAAGGTCTATTCCCGTTTCGTCGAAAAAGGAAGATGAACGAAAATTAGCAGCAGCTCAATAATTCTAATTGCCTTTTGATTCTAATTGTTTGACCATCTTAATATTAATCTTTCTAAAAGAAATTAATTAAAAGAATGCTGATGAGATCAATCTATTGTCTTATCGAAGTATATATAAGTGTTCATGCAGTACTAAATCACTTCTTAATTCAAATCTATAACATGTTTTCAATTCTTGAAAGTAAACGCAAAAAAACCAATTTTATTATTCGATACATTCCGTACACGCAAGATAAAATTGTTGGTACAACTATTTACTGGAAATGCGAAGATCGTTCATGTCCCGGACGCGCTTCATGGATCAGCTGCACCAAATTTGAAAAAATTACATAATCACAATGGAGATGAAAACAGATGCAAAGCCGAAGAATTCAAAATGGCCATAAAACGACGTATTGAACATTCACCACAACCAGTTAAAAGAGTTTACAAACAAGAATTGACATCATTATATACAACGTCGCCGCAAATTGCACCATCAATACCAATGTTTCATGAAATTAAAAATTCATTGGAAATTTATGGGTCAATGTCATGGATGAATTTCAAAATATTGAACGTATTAATCAATTTATGATTATGTCACAAGTACATGGATAGACGACGATGCATTATTTCATATATCGTTATGAAATTATTTCAATTTTAAAAGTTTAAGAACGAACAACAATTTGGAGGGTTGGCATTATCGTTTAAATGATTTGAATCATATTAATCACCCACATTTTTATATATTTATTCGTGCAATCCAAAATGATTATGCTCATAATGCCGCAACATTATCAAGACACCTAGCCACTAGTACATTACCACCACAAAAAAACTATACGTCAATCGAAATGTAAGATTGCTCAATTTGGAAGATCGTTATCAAGCACACACATTGACATTAGATCTGCGACAAATAGCGATTTTCTTTTTTTTTCTTTTCTTATTCACGTTATCTATAGTGTGTGCTCACGTTATTGACGAAAAAAACGTATACCTCAGATGATAAAAGAGAAGAAGGTCAGCATATACGTCTTTATCTGCATGAAGCCTCTAACGTTCGTACACACTAAGAAAAAGAAAGAAACGTGACATCACTCTACAAAGACAAGTCTTAATGTATGTTATATATGTGTGCCGTACATTGCAACGTGAGCACACACTATATATAACGTGAATAAGAAAAGAAAAGAAAAGAAAGTCGTTATTTGTCGCAGCTCTATTGGAAGAATACTTCAACAAAGTGTCAAGATTAATAGGCGTTAAGAAATTTTGATTTTTTTTTTGTTATTGTTACCACTGTATATACACATAAAATAGTTCTCGCTAGTAAATTCTTTCTATAGACTCGCTTAGAGTGCTTTTATATCAATTGAACCAATTTATATTCAACTAATTTGTATTGTCGACGAAACGGGAACGCTGGGAAAAAAATGTTTCGACGAACCGGGAACGCTGGAAAAAAAATGTTTCGACAAAACGGGAATACTTGGCAAAAACTATATACGCAGTTTGCTTAATCCATTTTAGATTTCGGTATACATTGGACAGAAAAAGAACATATGTTACTGCTATCTATTATTTTCATTATGTTTTATGCTTCACAGGAAAATTGAGAAAAAAAGGTTAATCATAGTTGCATTTTAGTACAATAAGTAGACGTACATATCAGAATATGTATTTGGAATGAGTACGTAAATCTAAAATAGTCAAAATTAACTTTTTAAAATAACTTTTCTACGAATCGAACTAATCCACACCCTAGCACTATATTAAAATTAGTACGTAAAACATTAAGAAACGGTTGGAATGATGACTAATAAAGTTCTTTTACAATTTCTGTCTCATTACAGAAAGGTACGAGTCTTAGAAACTTGGACTAACCATTGCTGCATGCAGAATTCTAAGAACGATCTTTCTGTATTGTGTTTGGCATATACAGTATTTCAGTTTAGTTAAGAGAAAAGCTACAGAAAAGAAGTCTCGAAGACTGCATATATAATAAGGGCTAGTCTAACGATTGTAAAACAAATTTATTGAGTATTGTTAAGCATCTCATCTAATTATGTAATTTTTTTTATGTAATTTGATCTTTTTACAGTGATATCATATGTAATTATCGAAGATGAATCAGACAATGAAACAAACTCTTTCGCTCCACCTTTTCTAATTTCTGGAAAATGGCATTTTTTCGAATATTGTTCATGTCATAATTTCGCTTCGTTGTTAAGTGCTGTATCGATATTCATCATTTTGATTTTCATCTTTGATAGATTCGAAAATTCGGTTCCATACAATTTTTCACCAAATTCGTTTAGTAAATTATAAATTTCATTTCTTTACAAGAAAATGATACAAATATTTTTTTCATACCAGTTTGACTTTATCGACCAAACGAGTATGATTGTTGTGCTTGTGTGCTTTTTGTTTTGCTTATATCATGACTAATGTTATACTCTGAAATGAAATACATAAAAAGTGGATAGTTGTTAGAAATTTTACAGATAAAGGAGAAAATATGATGACTCCATGCTAAGAGGTTCTTTACCCTTTGCCCCTGGATGTCCACACTGGTATGGACATTAGTGGGATATCGTAAAATCGCTACAACAACGTGACGAAGTATCGTACCAAAAAAATATTTTTTTCTAGCGTAAGCTAACATCATAAGTTGGTCGTTGCTAATAAGAAAATATTTTTTTATCTAGTGTAAATAGAATTATGAGTGTTTCAAGTTTGTTTTTTATGATCAACTGTAAAGGGTTAAATTAAATTGTGATACAGCAATAAAACTTTCACATATTCATCAGTATTATATCGAGTAAAACACTTGATCAGAACTAGTTATTTACTTTATTTCTTCGTTAAAACGAAATGAATGTAGAAATAATCACATTTTAGTTCAGACGAATATACCAATACATACAACAACAAACAAGGAAACAAACTTTATACACCCCGAATAAAATCCAGGAGTTGTCTGTTTCCGTACGATTTGTCGGAGTAAACCTTTAACAGTTAACAAAAAACCAAGAAGGATTGAAGTAAAAATCTCTTCTGCGTTTGTGAACAGATAAAAATCGTGTTACAACCACAACTTTAAACAAAAAAAAACAAAAGAAAATAGAAACAACTTGAATAAACAAACAAATCAGAGAATGTTAGTTAAGATATGACAATTTCATTAGTATGAACATAGTTGGTTGCAGAGTATAGAAAGAAAATGTACACAATGCATGAAAACAACCCAATTTTTTAATTAATTAGAAAAACAATGAGCACGAATCACAAATTCTCTAAAAAAAAAAATCACAGACATACAGAGAGTTGAAAAGATCTTCTCTTTCGCCTGTTGAGAAAAGTCTACATACGTAGTGTATTTCTTTAACAACAGGAGAAACACAAGAAAATGATTTATGTCAATTGTCAACGCAATCAATGATGGCAATCATTTAAGGATAAAAGCACTACCCCGATGAGATTTTGCAAGGTTAACGCATCTGCTGCTTAGTTGCACAAGTGGTCTTTTTTCTTTCTAATATAGATTTGTATTAAAAAAAAGTTTGACAAACAAAAATACACTACAACCAGCTCAATCAAGCAATGATAACTGTTTTATCTTAACGATGTGGGCACTAATAATAACTGTGCATTAACTGCTTCTGGAAATAACTGATGATAACTTTGGATTGGAATATATGATGCATTTATAACTCTTCCACTAAAAAATCTTCCATGTAATGAGTTTACCGCACTAATTGCACTTGCGATAGTTGGCGTTTTAATGTAAACATTTCCATTCGGATTTTTCTGATCAACAAATAAATGCACACATCCACCAAACTTATTACATTCTTCAATAACTTCATCTCGAATTTCGTCTGTCCAGTTTAATTTTGTTTCTTTAATGGGATCAAACATATTTGTTAACATAAAACATTGGGTGCCCACTGATGCCACAGAAGAGGAGCCAGCCGTTGGTGATTGTAAAGCCGATGACATGGCTTGGCTGCCAGCTACAAAAAAAAAATCGTCAGTGAATTTAGAGAAGATACGCATTGAAAAACAAATACTAACCTTGTTGTGCCATATTTAATGCATTTAATGCATATTGAGGCATTTGTAATCCACTACCATCTGCTAATTTAGCCATCAAAGCTAAACGGCCTGTTGCACCTAAATTAATTCCACGCTGATCTAATTCTTCAGAGTCCAGATTCGATGCTAAACCGCCATCATTCACACGCTCAGTGACGTGACCAACTTTCATCGGTCGACCAGCTAGTTCGAAACCGTTCAAGTTTTCCATTGCACGTTTGGCA